AAATTTACATACTTGGCCCCAACCTCTTCTTGAACCTGACCTTGAATTTCCATCCATATTCACCTTTCTCTACTCAGATGACTAATCATAAAAATAATAAGCAAAGTAAGCCCTGTTAAATACTGTCAGTCAGGTACTATTTCAGGCACTTTACATTAGCAACTCAACAACTCTGACAAGTTGCTTTTACTCTTCCTAATTTATAGATGAGAAAACTGAAGCACAGAAAGATTAGACTGCTTGCTCAAGATCATCTAGGAAATAGTTGCACAATGACCCAATCCTCGTCCTCCAGATCTGGCCCTTGAGTGGAGCTGCTGAGCTGGGCTGCCTTCCAGAGTCACAAGCTCCACATGTTCAAATCCTAACACTGGCTCTTCCCAGACTTCCCTATATCATACCTGGCACCAACGCCGAGTCAAAAGCTGAGTTGGAAGAATCAGATTCTAGATGTGAATAAATTTCAGAATTACTTTATTTCACTTGTATTTTCCTTTTTTGTGAAAGTGCATGAATGATATGATTTTAAAAGTCAATGCTTAGTCTAAGCTCTTTCAATGAGTATAAATGAATGCTGGGTAACAAGAAAGCATTGTGTCACAATCTAGCTGGCTACATTTTCCCTTTGTTAGCAGCATAAAAAATGGTAATGCAACTTAAAAATGATGGCATCTTACAAATGCTGAAATTCAGTAGGCTGAATCTGATCTCACCACTTCCGCCCTGGTCTGAGGTGCCGGTACAGTCACCCAGCTTTCACAAAAGTCTAAATGATCTCCTTGCTGATATTCCTCCTCCAGTCTGCAGTAGTGGAGGTGAAAAAAGCAAGCTGCAGTAAGGAGGTAAGGGTACATCTTGCCATTGCCACTTCCTGTGTGACCTTGGGTAAATCACTTAACCACTCTGTGCCTAGGTATTCCCCCCTGTAACAGGGGAATAATGATAATAATGCCTACTTTTTGGACTGTCATAAGTGAATTAATATATGTAAAACTCTTAAAACAGCCTGGCATATCATAAGCCCAACAGCCAGAGTGGTACTTTTTAAAGATAAATCAGATCATGTCATTCCCAAGGAAGGAAGAAAGGGTCTCTTAAGGCTTCCCATCACACTTAAAATCTAAATTCCTTACCACAGCCTGTGTGCTCCAAGATGCAGCTCTCCTCCACTCACGTCTCATTTCCTGCCACTCGCCCAGCTCTCTGGCAGTAATGGCCTCCCTGAGGTGACCAGCATACTACAAGGAGGCTCAGGAACCAAGGCTTTCACCTAAGAGGTCCCTGTGCCTGAGAGGCTGCTGCTGCCGCGACCTCAGCCCAGCTCGCTCCATCCTCATCACCTATTTGACCTTCTCTTACCTACCCTGCCTCATTTGCCCTTCGAAGCAGTCAGGATACCAGATGCTTGTTTACTGCTCTTCTCCTTCCCAAGAAAATGAACTGCTCGAGGGCAGGAACTCTCCTCATCAGGCTCATCCTGAATCTCCAATACCTAGAACAGTACCTGGGCCAGGATGCATGGGTGAAGGCCTGTTGGATCAATAAGCAAATGAAATAGAACCAGGTTCCAAAATCACCAAACTAGAAGCAAGTAGAGCTTCCATTTCACTGTACTTCCAATAAAAATAAAAGGTATCTCAGAGTTACTTTCACTCCCCTTCCTGTTCCATCACAAAGACGTTAAACCTAAAACCAAAGTCATTGTTCTTTGTATATGCCTAGGACATCTTATAGATATACAGGTGGAGAAGTGCAGCAAGCAGTACTAATCAAACTACAAAAAAAAAAAAAGTGATAATTTGATATTAATGGTCCTAGCCCAACAGTTGTCAAGCTATGGATGAAGCAAAACTCTGCAAATGGAAGGTGCAGTAAGACCCTGCCACAAAAACCTCTGTGGGCTACTGTGCTGTCCCTGTCCACACCCGAGATAAAAAGTTGTCGCCTTGGAAAGAAAAGTCACTCAAGGAATAAGGAAGAAATCTTAATGACTTCACTGGACAATTTTTAATTTTCCTATTTGCTTTTCCTACCTCGCGTATTATGACTATACAATATAATATAGGTTTTTTTTTTTTAACACTACCATTTCCAGCACACCAAATTACAGATTTGGAAATTCCTATTTTAGAAAGTTGACACAGAAAACCATTGAGTTTTCTAATAAAATTAGACCTCTCTGAGCTTTTTGGTTTCAAACTAAGCTTGATAACGTTGCTTAACTTTTTTATAGGCTGGTAAATGTAACTTCATCTATTACTCTCCAAAGTTAACTACCTCCTATCTATTTAAATTATACTACTTGATCACAGAGCTAATCACAGCATTCAAGGGAATAAAACCCAGTTCTTAAGTAAAACGTACAGCTAATAAATTTTGATAATAAATAATTAGTAGGCTTTGCTTGTACCCATGTGTAAGAATATCCACTGTAGCAATGTTTGTCACATGTTAAAACATATACAACTGTGTACATACTTTGACTCTTGCTGGGACAATACACAACTGGGTGCAGCCTTTGAACCAAGTGCCCAGGGATGGAGTGGAATGAGGTTTTACCTTTCTGTAGGTATTGCGTGCATGCTGATCTTTTTAAACCTATCAATACAAATCTACTGCTTTATGCCAGAAGCATTTTTTATCTCTACCTATCTTGTTAAGTACTGCATCTCCTAGGGCCTAAAACAGGGAGGGCCTAGCACATAACAAGCCACAGACAAGTATTTGTCAAATGAATTAAGTTTGTTTTATGCATTCACTGGACAAATAGAAGTTAAAAAAAATTCTTATTCCAAAAATCTAAAATAATTCAAATACTTTACAACACATAAATTCACAAGGAAGTGAAATTAGCCTCTGAGCCACGATGTTTTTTGTGGATGATGTTATCACTTCATAGCTAATCCTTCCCCCTTGGCCTCCCTGCATGAACATGTCACACCAGAGACACATGTGTCATCAATTTCTCAGAGCTGGATCGATTCTCTTTAAGCCCCTGCCCCTGCCCCTGCAGGAGGGCCTCCTTTTTTCCTTTCCAACTATAGCTTCAAATTTGATGTCGATGTAGTGGGATATACCCAGTCTTAGGAACCCTCAGACATCTAACAGGGCATCACTCACAGACAATGCATTCCTTTCAAAGCTTGTGTGAGTTCATCCTCTCCACCACAGGCAAGATATAGGCACCCAGCTCAGCCTGTCTCATCAAATATTTATCAAGCCCCTGTTGTGGCTGTCCATGCATAGTGGACCCTGCCCTCTGGAGGAACCGCGCAATGAGAGACAGTTAATTCTCTTATCCAAGAATGAACTGTATCAGCCAACCTTTTACCCTTTCTTCCTTCTCCCTTTCCCCTCTGGGAAACCCTCAGCAGGCAAAAAGGATACAGCAGTCTCAATCCCAAGGAAAAGATGGTCATCAAAAGACAATTAGTTTTTCTATCTCCTAAGAACAACTGCTCTTAAGACAGCCTAGTGTTTTGGAAAATGCAGCTCTGGGTGTCACCTTTCGAAACAATAAAACATACGGCTAAATTTAAGAGGAAACAAAGAGGATTAAATACATATTTGTATTCTCAATAAAAAAACTACGGTTCTATCATCTTAATCACGGAACTAAACGTAAAGAAACAAGTTTGATATCATGCCACTTTTCGTTATACTTCGAGAATGGAATGCAATAATGGTTAGTGTAAGAAGGAAATAAAATGCCTATATCAGAAGTAACAGCCCAAACCTGCTACCCAAAAATATTAACTACAAACTAAACACCACGGTGCAGATCTCCGACACAGAAATCTGGACAGGAACACATTTTAGGTTAGGTTCTCCAGCGTGTAAACTGGGACTCCAATATGTTTCAGCGTCCACAGTCCAATATGACACCTTCCCTCGCACCCATCCACCACGCAGTAATTTTCCTTCTCCTCATGTAAACACGTCAAAAGTCACCTCGGGCCCCCAACTGCCCCAGATTGCTCCCGATCGCTGCAGACGCCCGGCACCCGCAGGAACTTCCCCGCCCCGGGCCGCCCGCGGCTCAGAGCATCCCGCGCGGACACTGCGCCCTCGGGAGGAGACGCAGGACCGTCCAGGGCGCAGCCTCGTCCCCAGCGCAGTCTCCACGCCCGGGGCACAGCGTCCCCTCCTCACAAGGCAGCCTCCCCTGCCCGGGCCCAGCCTCAGCCTCATCCCGGGGGCAGCCTGGCGTCCCCCCCGCGCAGCGTCCCATGCCGGGCGCAACGTCTCCCCAGGGACATCGCCTCCCGTCCCCGGGCGCAGCCTCCCGTCCCCCAGCGCAGCCTTGTACCCGGGGCAGCCTCCCGTCCCCGGGGCAGCCTCCGATCTCCGGGGCACACCGTCCCCTCCCCAAAACGCAGCCTCGGTCCCCAGGGCGCAGCCTCGTCCGGACGCACCTGCCCTCCCCGCGGCGCGGCGCATCCCACGCGGACTCGGCGCCCTCGGGAGGGGACGCGGGGCCGCCCGGGGCGCAGCCTCCTCCGGGGGCCGAGCGCCGGAGCAGACGGGCGCCCCGGGAGGGTGGATGCGAGGCGGTGCCGGGGCAGCCTCGCCTCCCCATAGGCGCCCTCCACTCCCGGGACGGCCCGCAGCCCCGTCCCCGCCGCCAGCCCCTGCCCGGCGCTTACATAAACGCCGCCGCCGCGGGGTCCGGAGCCCGCGCCCGCCCGAGCCGCCGCGGCCCCGCGCCGCCCTCACCTCAGCCGCAGCCGCGCCGCGCCTGGTCCTCCGCACGCGCGCCCCAGGCTCCGACCGCAGTCCCGCGCCGGGCGGCGTTCTGCCTCGTCGGCTGTGCGCAGCGGCGCGGCGTGGCCGTAGCCTCGCGCGGCCCGGAGCCCCGGCCGCCGATCTGGCCGCTTGGCAGCCGCTGCCGCCGCCGCCACGGCCGCCTCAGCGCCTCAGCCCCTCAGCCCGGCCGCCGGCGGCTCCGCCCCCTCCCCGCCCCCGCCCGCCCGCCGGGGCGCGAGCACGCCGAGGGGCGGGGCCGGCGCAGCGACGCCGGACGTGCGCGCGCTCGCGCGTCCCTGTCTGTGGTAGGCAGCCGGGGCTGTGGCGTCTCGCCTCGCGACCACCTGCGGCGGACGGGCGCCGGGCCGGTGAGGCTGGAGCGCGGCCGGAGCTGAGAAACCGCAGCTGGGCGGCACCGGAGCGTGGGGCGGGGGCGCGGGACCGGCCTGGCGTCGCGGCGCCGCCCGCCCGAGCACCGCTGAGGAGACCCTGCCCGCCTTCGTGTCCTCCTCTGGGTGCGCGGCTGCTGCGTTTTGGGGACGGGGTCTCCGTGTCGCCCAGGCTGGAGCGCGGTGGCCCGATCTTGGCTCACTGCAGCCTCGGCCTCCCGAGCTCACGCGATCCTGCCGCCTCAGCCTCCCTGGTAACTGGGACCGCAGGCGCCCCGCGCCCGGCGATTGGCGTTTGCGTTTTGCGGAGGTGGCGTCTCGCGGTGTTGCCCAGGCTCCCGGCTCCCGGGCCCACGCGCTCCTCCCTGCAGCGGGCGCCGCCCCGCCAGGCCCCCGCCGAGCCGCCCCTGCTTCCCCCGCTCCCAGAGTTGTCTGGGACGCGCGGGGCCCGCCCCGCATTGGGTCAGGGCTGGGGGCCGGCGGGGGGCGCGGCTGTCCCGCTGGCTCCCTCTCCCCGCCTGTCATCCTCACTGTAGACTCGGGGAGAACCGGGTCGCGGCCCAGGACCCCGGACGCGGTTCCCTCCGTGTGCCATTTAGTCCGCACTGACACTAGCAGCTGCTCCCAATTACCAATGTTTAGGTGATGGTGGTTTTGTTTGATTTTTTTGTTATTTTAGGTTGATAGTAAAAGCATTTTAAAGCTTTTTTTTTTTTTTTTTTTTTTTACAGCATATGCAATAGACTTACTCCTCGATTTATCTATATTTACTGACTGTTCCACAGTTATACCAAGAAATGTTTACACAGATGATGATAAGCATATGTAGAGATGCAACGTTTTCACAGACCAGAATAACCAGCTCCAGGCTGCAGTTCTCCACATGAAGATAAAGTTTGTTGGGAAACTCCTGACTGCGGCGACCTGAGCCCAGAGGAGCAGCCGGGGGCGGTGGGCAGAGCCGGGTGTGGACAAGCGGGTGGGTCCTGCACCTGGGTGGGGGAAGCAGCAGGCTCCAGGGTCAAGTTGAGGTTGTGCTAGCCCTGGCTTCCAGACCTCAGGCGGCCCACTCTGCCCTCGGCTTGTTTCCTCTCTTGTGAAGTGGGGAGTAAAAGACCATCACAAGCCAGGGATGAAGTGGCACAAACTGTGATCTCAGCCACTCTGGAGGCTGGGTCGTAGGGGTGGAGGGCTCACTTGTGTCTCAGAGCTGGAGCTGTGGTGTGCGAGGCCCGCACCTGTAAATGGCCACTGCACTCCGGCCTGGGCAACACTGAGACCCTGGCTCTGAAAAACAACAAAACTTAAAAGATGAACACAGATGAAGTATGGGAGCCTGGTATGTGGTAAGCACTCCACAGGTGTCAGCCACCAGCCCGCAGTTCAGGACAGGTCAGGGGGAGACCCGCAGTCTGCAACAGGCTGCCGGCTTCCATCACTGCCTGATGGAAAACAAGCCTGTCTTTGGGGCCAACAAGCTAACAAGTGAGCCCTTCACCCCATCTGAAGGCGAAGCACCCAAAGGGGCAACCATGGACCACTAAATAAAAATCAAGACTCCTGGGACGCCTTCTCCGGACACATTCTTAGTAAAGAGATATGTGGATGAGGACGTTGTGTGTATTTCTGTGTAACAGGCCACCCCAAACCTCAGAGGGCGGAAACCTCTCTTCACTGCTCATGACCCTGTGGGCCTGCAGCTTGAGCCAGTTCAACTGGGACAGCTTGCCTCGGCTCCATGGGGTGTCTGCTGGACCCACTTATGGGCAGGGGCCCCCCAGCAGATCTGGGCCACGTGTCACCCACCCACCGCAGGCTGGTCAGGCCTCCCTCCCGTGGTGGCTGGGCTCCATCGGCAGCAAGAGAAAGCAAATCTCCATGGTGCTTCCCTCCATCTCCCCAGGAGAAGCAGGTGAGATGGCCAGGGCCTGAGTGGATGTGAGCGACTGTGCAGGGGACAGGCACGGGAAGCATGGTTCATCAGGACGGTCACTGCAACAGTCTTCCACAGGCCTTCGCTGAGATGCAGGTTGGTGTAGGGAACACAAGGGAACTCACCAGAATGGAGGCTGCTTATGCAAGTTTCAGCTTGTTCTTTTTCTCCCTCCAGAGCATAGGAGAGCAGATGGCGGCCAAGGCCGGGACCCTCTGCTGCTCCCACGGGCCTCTCAGGCAGCTCTGCAGGACCAGCCAGCAGCCTCTGATTCTCCCTTCCTATTCCATGGCCTCAGATGCCATCCTTTCCACAGAGATAGTTTGTATCGTGACACTCTCCCTGACTTGGAAGAATGGCACTCAGAACATTCCCCTTGGTGCTGATGTCGGGGTGAAAGCAGTTTCCAGTCGCCTGGGGCCAGGACACGGCATTCCCAGCTGTTGTGGAGCATGAAGCACCAGGATGCCCATTTGGGTGCCTGTTGAGATCAGGCTCTTTGAGAAGGAATCCTGTGGTCGCCTGAGGAGGCCCGAAGAAATTTCGAGGACATCTCAGCCATCCATCCCCTGTTCACTGTGGAGGTCGAACACCAAGGTTCCTGGAGGGGGACCCTGGGTCTCCACAGAAGTGCTGGCAACCATCTACTTCCCGGCCTTCCATGCCTGCCCCACCTCCGTTCTGTTGTTTACCGTCTCCTTTGTGGGAATTATGGAATAAACGATCACTTTGGTGTCCTGGAAAATAAACCTGATGCTGGAGGGCTTGAGTGTAGGAATCCCGCTGGCCTTCCTATGTCTGCCCCATGAGTTAGGCTTTGCATAAGCATGTGAGACATCAACTGCTATGAAATGTGGTCTACACAGCACCAAAAAATCCATTTCACCACATTCTCCCTTCAGTGCAGTTAAATGGCATGACCTTGTGACTGCCCCCCACGAGAAGAATTAAAAATTACACTGGCCCTGCCAAAGCCTACAGGACACAGTGGCACAAAATGATTTCCATGATCTTAGGATATAGACCCAGGCCGACTCGACAGATTAAGTGGATTTCAAACTGTGGTCTCAAGCCTTCTGGGAACTGCCAGAAAGGAGGGGAAGGTGCCGAGTGGCCCAGCTGCCCAGCCTGTTCACACACTGGGCTTTCCAAAAGGAGGAGAAGGCGCCAGCCTCAGAGTGGCCCAGCTGCCCAGCCTCTTCACACACTGGGCTTTCAGTTGAAGAGAGTGTTCAAAGCTTACACATGTAAATGCCACTGATCTGTAAACCCCCTTCCTGTCATGCCCAGGGACTGGCAGACTGTGGCTAGAAGGGTGGGACCAGAGGGGTGGGTCACGTGACCTGCGCACGGGTGTGCTGGCCTCCCTGGGCCTCGGTGGCCAGGACAGCCTCCCTTTCCCTTTCCAGCCACACAGGGCAATCCGTGTGGATTTCTGTCTCCCCAGTTACAGAGTGTGCTGCCAACCTGCTGTGCTGAGACTGGCCTGGTCTTGGTCCTGGTGTCCTAGGGCTGATGACTGACCACAGCCTTTGTGCTTTTGAAGCCCATTTGACTATAGTCCTTGTGTACAACTGAAAATGAAGCTTTAAACAATCTTGCTTTGTTTTATTTAATTCTGCCCAATCTATTTGAGAAAGGACACTCACAGGTACTTTTTCGATTGTAGCCTAAAGTGGATTATTGATTTCCTTGTTTCTCAAACATCAGGAGGAGCATAAAACTGCTAATAAGAGGTGACCAATATTTGGTGATACCATGATTTGAGACATACTAATTTTGCCCTATATTTTAAAAATAAAATAAAAAGACATGAGACTGGAGTAGCAAAACCAGATGGTGCCAACCCATTCGGTCAACAGCTGCCATGGTGGTGGAAACTGTGTGTGAGGCCCGACCAGCTCACAATGTGCCACCGTCTCTGGGACAACTCCCAGCTCCCACAGTGACGCAGCAGGAGCAGTCTGTCTGTGCTCTGTGACAGGCACACAGCCCCCCACCCCACCCCCTGACTCCAGGACCTCAAGCGGATTCTGACTCCCAGGATGGCCCTGGGCACTTAGAACTGGCATTGAGACAATTGTGAGTCTCTCTTTGTGCCTAGGCCTGAAAGGTTTAAATCCAGCACAGTTAGGATGGTCTCCATCACTTGCCAGCCTAACAAGAGAAAACGGTTAGACACACAGGGGCAGGCGAGAGAGGACAATCTGATGGCCTTTCAGTGCCGTAGGCAGTGTCCTGTGCATGGGTCAACATGTGGCCAGGAAGATGTCTTTGCTTCAGGGCATTCATGTTCTAGTGGGGAGATGGCGTCACGGAGCAGCGCAGTGTGATAACTGGGCATTCACGTTCTAATGGGGAGATGGCATCATGGAGCAGCACAGTGTGATAACTGGGCATTCGTGTTCTAGTGGGGAGATGGCGTCACGGAGCAGCGCAGTGTGATAACTGGGCATTCGTGTTCTAGTGGGGAGATGGCGTCAGGGAGCAGCGCAGTGTGATAACTGGGCATTCGTGTTCTAGTGGGGAGATGGCATCAGGGAGCAGCGCAGTGTATTAATTGGGACACCATCCAGGGCAGGAAGAGAGGTGTGACAGTCAGTGCGGACCTAGCTGTGCCATGCAGCAGCGGCCAAGTAGTTTGGCCTGTCTGAGCCTGTTCTACATCCAGAAGAGGGAGACAATGGGTGGAAAGGCTCCAGTGGTGACGTACAAATGCAAGCTCCTAATGGAGAGGCATGTGAATGGTTGCAGGAGTCCAGGGCGCTGCAGCCGCACCGCTCAGGTGTGTCGGAGCAAGCTGCAGGAAGCTGCGCTGAGCCTTGGGGATGAGAAGGCACTGGCGGCAGGAGTGCCCTTGGCAGAGGAAAAAGCACTTCCATGGCACGTGAAGTTGGAGAAGAGAGGAGGTTTCTGCCACCATTGGTCAGAAGAGTCCTCCTGATTGGGCCACTTTGCACTCTGTAGAGACCAGGCAAAGGGAATGTGCTGCGTGGTTAAATCAGAGGTGGGCAGGCTGAGCCTGGGCCCAATGGTGTCCAGTCAGCAGTTAAGAATGAATATTAAACATGTAAAGTGTTGGGGTGGGTGGGGGGTTATGAAGAATAGATGCAGTGGGCTTCTGTGGCTGGCAGAGCCATAGATCTTTGCCATCTGGCCCTTTACAGAGAAAGGCAATCCCTGGTTTAGCCAAATAGGGCCTAGCTCTGGAACTGGGAGTTAGAGCAGCTGCCATCAAAGTGCATAGACTGTCTGGAGGTGGGAGAAACAACCCAAATCAGCACCACGGGTGAAGGGATGGGGGCTCTGACGTACTCGGTGGTGTCTGTCTAGAGCTCAGGCATGCCTGCAGCTTCCGTGCAGAAGACTTCTATCAGGTGTTGACACTGGAATTGGAAAGAGTTAAGAGGCTTTTGGAATCAGACTCAACAGGACTTAGTGATGGAGTCACTAGAGGGGTCTGGGGAGGGGAAGCATCAGGGCTTACCCAGGATCCTGGCTTGCACATATCGGTGGGTGATGGTGCTCTAGGATGACACGGGGGATAGGGAGAAGAAACCAGGCATTCCTTTTGGGCGCGTTAAGTTTGCAATGCCTACAGGATGTCTGAGTGGCTGTGTTAGGAAGACAGCTGCGTACGAAAGACTGATGTCCGGAGAGGAGAGCCGTGCTGGAGATGGACACTTGAAACCCTTGAAAATGGAAGACGTCACCGATCCCTTAAAGAGAGGGTGGAGAAAGGAAAGAAGGGAACCTGGCACCAGACCTGAAGAGCTTCAGCCTGGCATTAGAGGTGAGCATAGAAAGAGAAGGGGGCGTGGGAGGCAGGAAGGCCCATCGAGGCAGGAGAGAAAAGGCAGAAGCGTGTTTCTCTGGAGGCCGAGGCAGGGAGACTGCTTGAGGCCAGGAGTTGGAGGCTTCAGTGAGCTAATACCTCACACAGCTTGTATTCTTTTGTGTCTCAATTATTTCACTTGATCATGGATAAAGAGTGGAAAGGGAGACATAAATATGGTTATGTACGCAGATAATTTTAAATCTACAGCCGAAGTCTTAGATCTAATTAAAATTCAGCAAGATTACTGAGTATAAAATTGACACCCATGCACACACCCCCAAAATGATTTCTATGTATCAGCAGCAAACAACATGTAATTTGGAAGATGATTCTGTTTACAACAGTAACAAAAGTGTGAACTAAAAATAAATCAAAAAGAAGTACATGATCCTTAAGGAGAAATTCATTTTTAAAAATTACTAAAAGAGCAGGCAAATATAGAGACACACCAAACACCTCAAATTCTTCGTGGGATGAGTATAAATATATAAATCAAACAAAATTAGCAGCTTCACCAACTTCTTTTGAATGATACTAGATTTTTAAAATAAATCAGATGCAAAAACAGTATGGTTCCTGGTGACATACTACTCTAAAATAATGAACTAGAGCTAGGAAAAGGAGATTTTTTTTTTTCTATTTTGCTGAGTTATGTCTTAATTATTATGTTAGCAGTCTTTCCTGAGAAGCTAAAAGGTAATTAGCAACTGAAGCCAGGCAAGAGGCGGAGGAGGGAGGGCGTGGGCAGGCCGTGCTCTCTGCTGAATCTCCAGGAGATGTTCTGGTGGGGATGGAGGCTGGAGGCTGAGCCTAAGTGCAGTTGGGTTAGTGACAAATTAGATGGCTCATGTGGTTATTTAAAGCCTTCTCTCTAGGGAACTTTCAACTACCATATATTCAAGATCTTGCAGTTGATAGTTTTAAACTGGAATCTCAGGGACTCGGGCTGACTGTTACCTATACGAGTCGCTAAGGGATACAGCCAGCTGTGAGCGGTGGTGTGAAAAATGGCCATCATTGCGTATTTTCAAACTTTTTTTAAGTATAATGCATACACCAAAAAGTATCCATGTCGTAAGTGTACATCTCAACATGTTAGCCCAAAGTGGACACAGCTGTGAAACCTCCACCAGGGCAAGCAGCGAAATGTGACCGACCCGGAGTGTCTGGCATGCCCCTCTGCAGCCAAGGCTGCCTCTGGGCCTTAAAGATAACCTCTACCCTGACTCCCACCTCCGCAGATTGGTTACGCCTGTTTTTGCTTCACATAAGCGACATCACACGGCATGTATTCTTTCGTGTCTTGATTCTTTCACTTGATGCTGTGTTCATGAGCTCCATCAACCTGTGCCTCTGTGAACCTTCTCATACTCCTCTCTCAGTGCACGTGTGTATATGTTTCTGTTGGGTTGTGTACCAGGTCGCAGGAGACACATAGGTCCCACTCTAACGGCACACTGATTTACCAAAGTGTTGAGCCACTTTATACTCCTACCAGCAAGCGAGGAGCTTTCCAGCTGTTTCTTGTCCACATCAACAGTTGATGTTGACACTTTGGCCACCCTGGAGGGTGGTGGTGGTTTCTCATGGTGGCTTTAATCTGTAGTTCACTAATGACCAGTGAGGTTGAGCATCTTTACATGTTATTTTCCACATGCACATCCTTTCTGGTGAAGAAGCCACAAGTTTTCTTTATTATTTATTTGTAGAAGTTATTTATATATTCCAGACCCAAACTCTTGGCAGATATATGTGTTGCAAATACCTTCTCTCACCCTGTGTCTTGCATTTCCATAATCACAGTGGAGTCTTTTGTTATACAGGAGTTCTTAATTTCAATGTGATCCAATTTATCTACCTTTTTTCTACGGTTAGGGTTTTTTTGTGTCCAGTTTAGAAAACTCAGCTACTCCATGGTCATGAAGGAATGCTTCTGTTATCTTTTGGAAGGTTTATTGTTTTAATTTTCAAATTTAAAGGACAATTCACCAGGAATTGTTTTTCTGTACAGTGTGAGGTAGGGGTTCAGAGTCAGTCCATCAGTGTTGTCTGTGTTTGATGTCCAGTTGACCTAGCACTGTTTACTGACATGATTTCCCTTCTCCCTGCTGCTCTGCTGCAGTAGCTTTGTTGTGAATTAAGCATCCATATAGGCATGGGTTGTTGTTTTTTTCTGAACTATTTTGTTAGGTGCTGAGGACTGGCCTTGAACTGCTATTTCCTGTCCTAATTACTGAAACTTTCTTAAGAGTCTTCTTTTGACACCATAGAATCACCTTGCAGTTTTTTTGTTTTTCAAAATTTTCTTGGTTATACTTGGTATTTTGCGTTTCCATTTAAATCTTTCAATTAGCTTATCGGTTTCCTCAAAATATTCTGTTAGAATTTTTATTAGACTTGCATTGAAGCTATAGATCATTTGGTGAGAATGGATATTCTTACAATATTGAGTGCTCCAATTCATGTTTAGCCATACATTGATTTAAATATTCTCCAATTGTTTTCATTATCTTCTAGTCTTCTGTGTAGATATCACACACTTAGTCCATTAGATTTATTCCCAGACATTTGGTGCATTGGATGATCAATTTAAAATGTTCCCTATTTTTATTTTGTAACCACTGGTTTCTGGTTTATTTAGAATGCAATTGATCTTTGTGTATTGACCTCGTACCAGCAGTCTTTTGAGATTCACTTAATAATTTCAATAGTTATCTGTAGATTCTATTGGCTTTCTTACATACGTATCATTTTGTTTGTGAATAATCACTTTTTCATTTTTTCCTTTCCAGTCATTTTATCCTTTATTGCTTTCTTCTTGGCTTACCTCACCGGTTGCTGTTGAAAAGAAGTGTTAGTGGTGAGCATCCTTATTTTTTTCCTGACCTCAGGGGGGACACTTTCAATATTTCACCAGTAAGTGTGAGATCTGTGGTAGGATTTTTAAATATAGATCACCGCAATGAGATCAAGGAAGCTCCCTTCTATCTCTTCTTTGCTAAGAGTTTCTTTTCCTGAATGCATGCTGAGTTGTATCACATTCTTTCTTCTGCATTTATTGGGATGATAGTATGATTTTTCTGCTTCATTATATTAATACGGTGAATTAAGTTGATTAAAGTTTAAATGTTATACCAAACTTGCATTTCTGGAAAAAGCCCAACTTAGAAAAAGCCCAGGAGATACCCCAGGATCCTTCTAGCAAATCCCCCTCTCTGCTTGCCCACCCACCTTGCTTCAAGGACAAGGAGTGGAAGAAATAAGGAAAATGGTGAAGCAGCCCAGGTCTCAGGGCTCCACCTGGCCATGCTGTGGCCTAAGGCATGTGGCAGGGGGGACTTTTGTGACTTGGCTGGGGGTGGTGAGGGGCTGCTGTGGCCTAGGTGGTGGGGAGTCTGTGGCCTGGGTACGGGGGCATTGCTGACTACTGTGGCCTGGTCCCCTTCCCCAACTGCATCCTAGCCGTGGGGGGCTGCTATGGCCTGGCCCTGCCTAGCAGATGAGAGACTCCAGGCCTCGTTTTCTATTGAGTGCATGGAGACAGCTCTGGTTGATTACTGGACAACCATGTCCAGGTCACTTACTGGACATGGGTCCCTTCCTTGGGCTTCAGTCTCCTCATCGGAGAGGCTATCTGTAAAGTCAGGAGTCAACAAAATGTCCCTCAGGCAAACTGTATAAAAAGAAAGTATAAACTAAACATTAAATATCCCGTCAGCCACAGAAATGTGAGGCACTGTTCCTGCCTGCACTGAGGTTCAGAGACTCGCCCTTCCCCAGCACCATCCACTGTGGGGTGCGGTGCTCAGTGTTTGCCAGCAGCCTAGGGTCTTCAAGGGGAAAAGTCTCTCTGCCGTCCTATGCTGGCCACCATGGGGACTTGTGATGGAGCTACTCATCAGTTCTTCAGCCAGTCTCTTTTCAGGGGGAAGGGTCTCCCATCTGTCATCAATGCCTCAGGGGACGGAGGGGAGGGAGGGCACATCTGGAGGGGTGCAACCCCAGATGGCCCCACGAGAACCAGGAGGGGCCCTGGTGGCAGCAGGAGTTCAGGCCCAGGAACAGGTCCCAGGCTCCCTCTTGTCCCAGCTCCTTCCCAGACCTCCTGGGAACACAGCACGCATTCCAGAGAGATGAGAGCAGTCATAGTCTGTGCGGGTTTGGTTGAATGGCATACAATATAAGCCCACCTATTTTTGCTTTCTAGAATTCCACTTCTATTTTTGGTGGAATATGAAAGCTTTGACTATTTCCCAAAGTGGAAAAACACATATTTTTCCTTGACTGTCTGGTAATATCTTTGTTGCTCATTAAATAAGTGCATTCAGTCTGCATGGGTGCTCGGTGAAGCCCCTTCCCGATCCCCTGAGCAGGAGCTGGCTGTGTGCACCACACACAGATCCTTTCTCAAGCCCTCCTGCATTTTATTTGTTAAAGCTTCAGCACTTCACACATATCCCAGTGGGTAGATCTGAATAAGGGCATCAGATGTGCCCACCACTCTGCAGCTAAGGACTGCAGAGTAGCCTCTCCATGAGGATTCCAGTGCTTAGGTCCCACGCCCCACCCCTCATGTATCTGTAAAATAGAAGAGGAGGAGGGGGAGGGAGAGGAAGAAGACGGGTAGGAGGGTAGGAGGAAGGGGAGGGGCACTTCCACCCCTTCTACTGCCTTAAGGATGTGTGCGGTGGACACTGGGGTGACTATGGAAGGAATACGCCTACCTGAGCTCACTCCCACCAGCATATTAGCCTCCATTACAACCACTAATTCTTTCGGTATTTTGCAACAGAGTTTCACTCCGTTGCCCAGGCTGGAGTGCAGTGGCACAACCATGGCTCACTGGAGCCTCCACCTGCCCACTCAACCAATCCTCCCACCCCAGTCTCTGCAGTAGCTTGACACCACCACACCCCGCTAATTTTTTCATTTTTATTTTTTGTGGAGACAAGGTCTCCTTATATTGCCCAGGTTGGTGTCAAACTCCTGGGTTTAAGTGATCCTCCCATCTTGGCCTCCCAAGGTGTTGGGATTACAGGTGTGAGCCACTGCACCAGGGCTTAGTGGGTCTATTTCTTGACTCTTTATTCTGTTCCATCGATCTATTTGTTTTGCTTGCCACAGACACCACGTTGTCTTGAATCCTATAGCTTAAGAAAAAGAAGCTGGTGTCATTCTTGCAGACTCTGCAGGATTGTTTGCCCTATTCCAAGTTCTTTGCCTTTCCATTAAACTTTTAGGATCAGCTGGTCAATTTCTACAACAAAGCCTGCTGGAATTTTTACTAGAATAATATTGATCTTTCAGGAAGGATGGACAGCTTTATAATACTGAATCTTCCAATCCATGATCATGGTATATCTCTCTGTCTGAGTACATTGCGGCAGCTATAACAAAGCATCTTTGACTGGATAGCTTACAAACAACAGAAATCTATTTCTGGCAGTTCTGGAGGTTGAGAAGTTCAAGATCAAGGTGTCTGGCGAAGGCCCAGGCTCCCCAGCCTCTGGCTCCAGAACTTATACCCTTTGCCTGGTGTTCTCAGGCCTTTGGTTTGGACTGATGGTTTTACCATCAGCTTCCCTGGTTCTGGGGCTTTTGGACTTGGACTGAGCAACACTGCCAGCATCCCTGGCTCTCCAGCTTGTGGATGACTTGTAGTGGGACACCTCAGGCTCTACAATTGACAGTGCCTTCTTGCTATGGCCTCACGTAACAGAAGTTACTAGATAGCTCTCTGCAGTGTCTTTTTTTTTTCCCCACCCCAAGACAGAGTCTCGCTCTGTTACCCGGGCTGGAGTGCAGTGGTGCAACCTTGGCTCACTGCAACCTCTGCCTCCAAGGTTCAAGCCATTCTCTTGCCTCAGCCTCCCAAGTAGCTGGGATTACAGGTGCCCACCAACACACCCAGCTAATTTTTTGTATTTTTAGTACAGACAGGGTTTCACTATGTTGGCCAGGTTGGTCTCAAACTCCTGACCTCATGATCTGCCTACCTTGGCCTCCCAAAGTGCTGGGATGACAGGTGTGAGCCATCACTCCCGGCCTACAGTGTCTTTTATAAGGAAACTAATCCCATCACAATGACTCCACCCTTATGACCAAACCACCTCCCAAAAGGCCTCATCTCAAAAAACCATCACCTTGGCCGGGCGCGGTGGCTCAAGCCTGTAATCCCAGCACTTTGGGAGGCCGAGACGGGCGGATCACGAGGTCAGGAGATCGAGACCATCCTGGCGAACACGGTGAAACCCCGTCTCTACTAAAAAATACAAAAAATTAGCCGGGCGAGGTGGCGGGCGCCTGTAGTCCCAGCTACTCGGGAGGCTGAGGCAGGAGAATGGCGTAAACCTGGGGGGCGGAGCTTGCAGTGAGCTGAGATCCGGCCACTGCACTCCAGCCCGGGCGACAGAGCCAGACTCCGTCTCAAAAAATAAAAAAATAAAAAAAAATAAACCATCACCTTGGGGGTCAGAATTTCAACATATGAGTTTTAGGGGGACAGAAATATTTAGACCATAACACTCACAATGTGTTTACATTGTCTTTAATTTCTACCAGCTGTGTTTTGCAGTTTTCAGGATAAAGGTCTTGCACATCTGTGTTAGGTTTCTCCAGAGAAACGGAACCAATAGTATGGGTGGATAGATGGGTAGATGGAGAGAGGGAGAGAGAGAGAGAGAAAGAGAGATAGACAGGCAGACAGGTAGATAGATAGTTGAGAGGGGATTTATCAGGGGAATTGATTCATATGATTGTGGGGTCTGAGGAGTCCCACTGCAGGCCGTCTGCAAGCTAGAGACCCTAGGGTGCTGGGAGTGTGGCTCGGTCCAAGTCCAAAAGCCCCAGAGCCAGGCAAGCTGGTGGTAGAAGTCTCAGTTCAAGGTCAAAGGCCTGGGAACCCAGAGGCAGGGGAAGAAAGCCCTGGAGCCAAAGGCTGGGGAGGCTGACATTGTTGTCCAAGGGCAGGAGAGGACCAGTGCATCCCAGCTCCAGCAGGGAGCTCCACACATTCACCTTTTCTCTGCCTCTGTTATCTCCAGGCCCCCAATAACTGGATGATGCTGTCCACCCTGAGGGAGAATCTCCCCCACTAGTCCACTCAGACTCACACTAATCTCTTCTGGAAACACCTCACAGACACACCACAAAATACACTTTATCAAGTTTCTAGGTATTTCTTAATCCAGTCAAGTTGACACCTAAAATGAACCATCACAAAACCTTCTGTTAAATTCATTCCTAAGTATTGCGTTTTTTGTTGCTACTGTAAGTGGTATTTTAAATTTTAATTTTCCTGTTGTTTCTTGCTAATGTATAGGAAAGCAATTGATCTGGTAATTGATTGTATACCCTTTGGCCTTGCTGTATTCACTTACTAATTCTAGTGCTTTTTTGTAGCTTCTTTGGGATTTTCTGCATATAATCATATTGTTTATGAATCTACACAGATTTGCTTTTTCCTCTTCAACCTGTGTATGTCTTTTATTTCTTTTTCTTGCCTTATTGCATTGGCTAGGACCTGTGATACAGTTGGAGAGCACTTGCTGTGCCCACATGGCAGAGTACATAGAAGGGTGACACCAGGAGGTAGGTTTAGAGGTCCCAAAAACTAAGTGTAGTACAGTCATCCCCTCTTATCTGTGGGGAATATGTTCCAAGACACCCAGTTGGTGCCTGAAGCTGCAGACAGACAGATAGATAGATGGATAGACAGATGATTGATAGATAGATAGATAGATAGATAGATAAGAAGGGATTTATTAGGGGAATTGGTTCACATGGTTGTGGGGCCTGAGAAGTCCCACACAGGCCATCTGCAAGCTAGAGACCCTAGGGTGCTGGTCGTGTGGCTCAGTATAAGTCCTAAAGCTCCAAACCAGGGAAGCCAATGGTAGAACTCTCGCTCCAAGGTCAAAAGCCTGGGAACCCAGAGGTAGGGAGTGAAACCCAGGTTGTACAGAACACTATATATACTATGTCTCTTTTATCTGACTACCGAAAGGGCTACTAAGTGACTAACAGTGGCTAGTGCAGACAGCATGAATATGCCGAACAAAGGGACAATTCACATCCTGTGCAGGACAGAGCAGGACGGTGCAAGATTTCACTGTGCTTCTCACAGGGTATCCAATTTAAAACATATGAATTGTTTATTTCTGGACTCTTCCAGTTTATAATTTTAAAATGCAATTGACTGTGGGTAAGTGAAATTACGGACAGTGAAACTGAGGATGGTGGAGGCTACTGTACATGACTTTCAGTTCCTGCTGACTTCTCTAGTTTCATTAAAGAGCAAACTCTGGCAGGATAGGTCATATTTGTATAACACTTGAGAGCTGGGCTGGCTATGTAATTTGCAGGGTGCACTGGAAAATGAAAATGAGACTGCTTATTCATGAAACATGAAAAACCTTCTTTCCTTTTTTCCAAAGTCTGTCTCTGTCTGTGCCCTTCCCTCCGTCCCCCTTCCCTGCCCTCTCGATCTGTCACAGTGGTTTTCACGTGCAGTTTACTGTCGTGCTCCCTTGAGCACGGGAATACCTGCAAGACAAGGAGGGGTCTCCAGAGGCAGAGGCGTCAGGGTCAGAACCGTGGAGTGGCCTTGGGTGAGTCAGGGCTGCAAGCCCCATTACTCCATTGCCCCACAGGGCTTCTCTTTCAAAGCACACATTCAATAATAAAATTGTTAAAATATCAAGATAACAACTGCAGAGCACTCAAAATGCAAACACCGTCCTCCCGAGCATGGAACCCTCTTGAGAAAAAGGCCCTCCTGAGCACGGGGTCCTCCTGAGTACCGAGCCCTCCTGAGCACGGGGTCCTCCTGAGCACCGAGCCCTCCTGAGCACGGGGTCCTCCTGAGCACAGAGCCCTCCTGAGCATGGGGTCCTCCTGAGCACAGAGCCCTCCTGAGTACTGAGCCCTCCTGAGCACAGAGCCCTCCTGAGCACCGAGCCCTCCTGAGCACAGAGCCCTCCTGAGCACCGAGCCCTCCTGAGTACCGAGCCCTCCTGAGCACGGGGTCCTCCTGAGCAGAGAGTCCTCCTGAGCACTGAGCCCTCCTGAGCACGGGGTCCTCCTGAGCACAGAGTACTCCTGAGCACCAAGCCCTCCTAAGCAGAGTCCTGAGCACCGAGTCCTCCTAAGCATGGGGTCCCCCTGAGCACAGAGCCCTCCTGAGCACTGAGCCCTCCTGAGCAGAGAGTCCTGAGCACAGAGTCCTCCTGAGCACAGAGCCCTTCTGAGCACTGAGCCGTCCTGAGCAGAGTCCTCCTGAGCATGGTGTCCTCCTGAGCATGGTGTCCTCCTGGGGGTCTCCTGAGTGGCTCCCAATCATATACCTGCCTCACACACACCAGTGCCAAGGGCCTGCGTGCTTGGTGCCCTGCCAGGTGTCTGGGGCCCGCCTGCTATCTCGCATTCACAGCCTCACATTCACTTATAATGGGTCAGGCATTTAGTAGGTGAAACTGCAGCTCTGAGAGCTCAGAGAGCTTCTTTCACAGTAGCAGCTGCTCCCACAAGGGGTGGATTATTTTCTCTGAAACAGGGCAACGGAGACTAAATTATCTCTAACAATGGTGGGGTGGTGAGCAGCCTTTGCTTCAGTAATGGACATATGTATTCTGTACTCACTTTCATGGTCAAATGTTTTCTTAAGCTGATTAAGAATGGTAAGGTGTGGCTGGGGGCGGTGGCTCACGCCTGTAATCCCAGCACTTTGGGAGACCAAGGCGGGTGGATCATGAGGTCAGGAGATCGAGACCATCCTGACTAACACAGTGAAACCCAGTCTCCACTAAAAATACAAAAAAAAAAAAAAAAAAAAAATTAGCCAGGCGTGGTGGCGGGCACCTGTAGTCCCAGCTACTCAGGAGGCTGAGGCAGGAGAATGGCGTGAACCCGGGAGGCGGAGCTTGCAGTGAGCCAAGATCGCGCCACTGCACTCCAGCCTGGGCGACAAAGTGAGAGTCTGTCTCAAAAAAAAAAAAAAAAAAAGAATGGTAAGGTGTGGGTCACACCCTGGGGAGAGACAGTGGGCCCAGTGGCCAGGACAGCAGCTGAAACAAGCCATTCAATCACCCAGGGTGGCAGATTCGATGCAGCTGTGTGAGGTGCTGTGGTCAGGCAAGACTTGTGCTTAGTCAGGTCAGGAGGACTTCCTGAAGGAGACGACATTCTTACAGTACAAGCAGTCATTCCCCAGGTCCAGAAGAGGCCTGGGGGAGAGCCTGTGCCCAGCAGGTAGGAAAGTGATGTGTAACCCAGCCAGGAGAGCCCAGGGAGCCAGTGCCTATCACTCAGGGGTGCTCCAGGGCTTCCTGCAAGGGAGGGCCTGGCATGGCAGGGGCCAGGGACCAGTGAGGGCAGAGGAGGGACTGGGGAGGAGAGCAGAGGAAGACAGGTGCGGCCAGATGGGAGGGTCCTGGATGCCACTTCTGATCCCGACTCCCCCCACCACTTACCAACCTGCAAAATCCTCCATGTTCTGTTCTTTCCCTTTTTTTTTTTTTTTTTTTTTTGAGACAGGATCTCACTCTGTTGCTCAGGCTGGTGTACAGTGGTGCCATTTCGGCTCACTGCAACCTCCGCCTCCCAGGTTCAAGTGACTCTTCTACCTCAGCCTCCCGAGTAGCTGGGACTGCAGGTTCACACTACCACGCCAGGCTAATTTTTGGATTTTTTTTGGTAGAGACGGGGTTTCAGCCTGTTGGCCAGGCTGGTTTCAAACTCCTGATCTCAAGTGATCTACTCACCTTGGCTTCCCAAAGTGCAGAGATTACAAGTGTGAGCCACCGCACCCAGCCAATCTTCTGTGTTCTCCTCAACCCTGGTTAAAAGCCCACTCCCCTGTCCCCCTCCTCACCAGCCGCCACTGCCCCAGCACCGCTCCCCATTCCATGCCCCCACCCTGCACACCCTTCCCCCTCCCTGCCCCCCACTCCCTACACCCCTCCCCCCGGCCCCCACTCCCCAAACCCCTCCCCCTTCCCTGACCTCGCTCCTCCACACCCCTCCCCGTCCCTGACCCCCATTCCCCCCATCACCCTCCTCTCTCCCTGCCACTGCCCCACACCCCTCCCTCTCCCTGCCCCTCATGGCCATCTTCCTAAAGGGCAGCACCCTCTAGACTCTGGAACTTTGCTCTGTCCACCTGCCTGTGTGTTCAGAAACCTCTCAGACCAGTGGGCACCCCCAGCTCATCCAGCCCCCTCCTGTATGTGGACACTCAGATTGTCACCAATTTTTTTTTTCTATTACAAACAGCGCTGCAAAGGAAGGATGTCAACCACAGGTGTCTTCGTTTTGGAAACTGGAGACATCTTCCCGGGGTCAAAGGCAAGTGTGCATGTCGTTTTGTTCGGTGTTGCCAGCGCCCCTCTGAGAGGGCGGTACCCAGTGGCGTCCCAGTCAGGGACTGGGACCTGCTTCCCACAGCCCGGCAGATGGATGCGCGGTCTCATGGATGAGAGGCAGCACCTGGCTGTGGTTGAAGTTTGCGTTCTCTAAGGATGAGTGAGTGGACAGGTTCAAAGTATTTAAGGCTCATTTTAATCTTTTTGGGGAACTGTCTCTTTATGTCCTTTTCCTGTTTGTCTATCTGATTTCTGGTCCTTTGTCGTCAATTTGTACGAGTTCTTCATTTATTAAGGATGTTGGGGCTGGGCACGGTGGCTCATGCCTGTAATCCCAGCACTTTGGGAGGCCGAGATAGGCAGATCGCTTGAGGTCGGGAGTTCGAGACCAGCCTGACCAACATGGTGAAACTCCGTCTCTACTAAAAATACAAAAAAATTAGCCAGGCGTGGTGGCGCACACCTGTAATCCCACTTACTCAGGAGGCTGAGGCAGGAGAATTGCTTGAACCTGGGAGGTGGAGGTTGTAGTGAGCCAAGATGGCGCCACTGCACTCCAGCCTGGGTGATGGAGCGAGACTTTGTCTCAAAAAAAAGAAAAGAAAAAAGGACTTTGGCCCTTCATCTGTGGCTTATGTTGCAAATATTTTCTCCTAGTTTTTCAGTGGTCTTTGTTTATGGTGTTTTCTTTTGGCTGTGCAAAATATTTTTCCTTTTTTATACCCATATTTACCAATCTTTTCTTTTCTTTGAGTCATAGTCTACCCCCGCACCCAGGTGACGGAAGAATGCACTCATGTCCTCTTCCAGGACTTGTCTGAACTCCCGTTTCGCACGTGGGTTCCCGAGCCGCTGAAGTGTATTTTTGTGTGTGGCGTGAGGCAGACCTCTCATCTTTTCTCCAAGCCTATCTGGTGTGCACCCCCACCCTGTTATTCAGAGTCTACTTGTGCTCCAGAGGTTTGAGGCACCCCCTTTATCTCATGCTGACCTCCCAGGTGCATGGGCCTCCTTCAGGGCTTCTCGTCCACCCTGTGTCTGTCCAGCACAACCCGCTGGAGGACGCTGTGCTGTCAGCAGGGCTGAGGCTGTCAGGGAAGGGGTGCAGGTGGCGGAACTAGACTTTCTTTTTCAGGGGTTCCTGGCTGTCTTTGAGGGATAAGTATTTCTTGGGATAAGATTCATTTATGTGAAGTTCAGCACTCCTTCAGTTTTACTCCATTTCTTTTTCTTCTATTAAATTCAAGGAAAATCCTTAACTTTCCCATCTACTCAACGATCAGCTTGCATGTTCTGTCCACATCTTGCACAGGGCCTGGCCTCATCCGACATGAATGAGGGGCGTTTCTGGGCAAGGGGTCTGGCAGTGACATTTGTGGTTTGTTGTTGCTTTCTTTTTTTGTAACTTTCAGTATTGTTTGCCTCTTGACAATACGCATGCATTCTTCCTGTGAGGAAACCAAGTCATTATTCCAGAGCAGAATTTTTCCAGGAAGGAGCCAAGCGCTCAGATGGCTCCAGGTGGGGGAGGGGACGAAGTAAATCGCAGTCTGCAAATTAGAGCTCAGTGCATTAATATTTCCTAAAAATATCTCTCATTTGCATCTCCTACGAGCAAATGTTTTGCGGAAAAACCGTCTTTATTTCGGGATCTCTGGAGTGGTGGCGGCACCGCCGGCGAATGGCCTACATCTCCTGCTTCTGTTCCAGCTCATTCTTGCCTTCCATGAATACAAGACGCTGGAAGGTGCAGGAAGAGAGAGGAACGGTGATGAACGGAGCAGTCTCTGTCCCACGTGGCAGCTTTGGGGTTCTGTCTCCCTTTTTATCATAAAGAGGTGTTTTTGTGTGTTTCTTTCTCATGGCTAATTTGAGATTCTGGTTATTTAAAGAGCCCAGAGATGGAAGCCAGATGACTCAACTCCGGATTGGGGAGGGATTTCCTTAAAAGACCTCTCAGTTTGTGGGAGCACAGACCAACATGACCGTGCACCATGCATGCTCATCACGCCTGGCTACCCTGATGTACTCAGACTCCGAGCCGCTCGGCAGAAAGTGGAGGCTAAACAAACTCGTCTTCCCTCCCACCGTGGCTCTTGTTCAATAAAACCAACAGAAGCCACAGGCTGACAGCATCTGGTTAAGGGAGGGAGGGACCTGAACGGCTGCCGCGTGGTGACCACTGCACCCATAGCACGGGTTGCTGGCTGCGCCTGGGGAGCCCCATCCCTGTGCTTGTAACCAGAAGTCAGGCTTCTCTGCTCTGGGACTCTTCTTAAGATGAGCTCTTCAACTCTGCGGCAGCTGCCTTTTCTGGCGCTGCAGGCCGGTCCCTCCACACCGCGCCTCCTCCTGGGACGCCCATGACAGTCACCTGCTGTGGTCAGGAGGGGCATTCTCAGGAGCGGACCTGAGAGTTTCTGAGAGTTCCCGGAGGGCCTGAAGACGCGGGGGCTCAGAGCTGCGCTTTCCTTGCCAGCGTGGTCCTTCCGTGCACTCCCTGGCGCCAGCTGACTGCGTGGGGGTGGAAGGGAGGCCTGTGGTGGCCGTTGGAGGCTGGTGCTTCCCTGCCGGACTCCCTGGCAAGTCTGTTCTTGGAATTGTCCTTCCGGAAGCCTCCTGCGTGAACTGCACTCAGTGGAACCCAAAGGCTGTGGGCGCGGCGTCCGGGCTCTCTCCGCTCCAGCCCCCGGGCTCGCAGTGCCCCACTGTGTGCCGGCACAGTCCGCGGGAAGGTGGGCTCCGGCTCTCCCCTGGCCACGTTACATGAGTCTCAGACCCTCCTGGGGGGCCACCCCGAGCTCCGACACGCCAGGGCCAAGTTCCACGCTTCTGCCAAGCACTCAGCCTGCGGGCCTGTGTCAGCCGGTGTGTCCGGGAGGCGCACACGGTCATTCCTAGAGCGTGTTATGTTCTACTCATAAAAGGCAACGTAGTGGGGGCAAAATCCTGGGGCCGTGGCTGTTTCCCTCCCAGCAGGTGTGGGGCCCTATATTCCAGAAGATCGTTTTCTAAGGAACTCGAGGTTGGCCTGTGCACGGGCTTCCAGGGTTTTCCCTCCGTGCTCCGCAGCCTTCGACACTCCAGACGGTCGACTGGGGCATTTCAGGGTGCCTCGTCTGTCTCCCGTGGCTCAGGGAGGGCTGTCCCTCGTTGTCTGATGCTGGCATCTTGACATCTCTTGTTTCATGTGGTTTTTCTCTTTTGATTTGTTTGGTTTTTCAAGAGGAAGGTAAACATGGTTCCTGTTACTCCACCTTGGCTGGAAGCCAGTCTCCTGTTCAGATTATCTTAGTTCCTTATTCTCTATTGTGAACAGTCTTCTCAGACCCAGCAATTTCCAAAAACTGAGGATACGGGCTCTCCTTGGCCTCCCTATGTCCCCATGGACACCTTCTCAGCACCTCCGTCAGGCCCCAGGGTGCCCGCTGGCAGTTTTCGGTGCAGAAACTCCTTAGAGAGTGGGGGGCATTTCCTAGGAAATGCCTACTCCAAACATTTGGATTGCGGGCTCATCTTTTTAGAAATTCTGAATAGGTTATAGTTGGCTCAAACATCAAAAAGTATAAAGAGACATACAGTGTCCAGCGTCCCTCCCCCAGGCCCCTCCTCCCTGGTTACTTTCTCGTGTAAACCCGCGTGCAAAATTGTAGCTGTGGGCAACCTTCTATTTTTGGAAAGTGGTAGCAAGTTGATACCCACTGATCCTCACCTTGAATTTTTCAGCACATAGCACGTTCATGCAGGTAGAACCAGCAAAAGATAATGCTAGACTGGCATGGGGGCATGGGAGATAGGCCCGCAGATGGTCCAAGGACCTGCCTGTGTGATGTCAGGTCCGTCCTGTCCTCTGATGAGCTTGGCAGGGAGAGCAGACGTCTGTTTCTGACTACATTGGGGTGCTCGTTAGCCAGCGAGGTGGAGGAGTCCTGTAGGCGGCTGGATGTTGTGATGGTTACTTTCATGTGTCTACTGGACAGGGCCAGAGGGTGCCCAGATACTTGGTCAAACATCACTTTGGGTATTTCTGTGAGGGTGTTTTTGGAAGAGATTAGCATTCAAATTGGCAGACTGAGGAAAGCAAGATGGCCCTCCCCATTGTGGTGGGCCACATCCAGTTGAGGACCTGAATTCAACTGAGGGTCCCCTGAGGACCCTGATGACAGTGGAACTAATTCCTACCAGCTCTGTGTGAGTGGAGCTCATGTTTATTTTTAAGAGACAGGGTCTGGCTCTGTCACCCAGGCTGGAGTGCAATGGTGCCATCATGGCTCACTGCAGCCTCCACCTCCTGGGCTCAAGTGATCCTCCCACCTCAGCCTCCTGAGTAGCTAGGACTACAGGCACATGCTACCATGCCCAGGTTTGGTTTTTTTTGTTTGTTTGTTTTGTTTGTTTTTTTGTAGAGATGAGACCTCGATATGTTGCCCAGGCTGATCTCAAACTCCCAGGCTCAAGTGATCCTCCCGCCTCGGCCTCCCAAAGTGCTGGGGTTACAGATGTGAGCCACTGTGCCCAGTGCAACCTAATGACTTCTAAAGATGCCTGTGCTTACCTCTTCCAAGGGCTGTGGTTGTGCTGGAGTTCCTGGACACAGCCCTATCTGGTTACATGGCGGCTCCTTTAGGCTTCGGTCTGTTCCTGTGCTGGCTGCGGGGCCAAGCTGGTGTCTGAAGGACATTTCTCCATTGAATGGGCAGTCTCTGGAGGGTCCAATTTTCCTTCTAGGTTTTCCTTTCTCAGGACACTGTCCTTGCCAACCGTTTCCTGCTACAGCTGGTGGCGGCCAAGTCCTCAGGGCCTCTCTGAATGCCCGGCTCCCGCTCCACTCACAATCGCCAGTGCAAGCCTCACCCGGGAGCAGCGGCTTCTCAGAACGTAAACCCCAGTGACGCTCTCAGGTGCCAGCTGTGTCTAGTGTGGCCCGTTTGGACCCCATGACTTGGAAAATTTTAAGAAGCACTTATAAATTATTAACCTGTGATTGTAGGTAATGAAACAACCAGAGGGCTTCATAAAATTCAGATCAAATTCTACCACAGAAGCATTTGAATCGGGCTCACTGCATGCCGGGCGCCGCTGTAAGCACCCTACCTGCATGTTCTCATTTGATCGTCAGCAGCCCCAGGAAGCTGGCATGGTCACAGCTGCACTCAGCTGGGTGAGCAGGTCTGTGTACCAAGAGGTGGAGCCTCTCCCACAGCCACGCAGTGGTCGGGGGCCACGCAGGTTCCAGCCTGTCCCTGCCAGACCAGCAGGCACTCTCGAGCCACAGGCCCGCTGCCCCTCACATGCAGAGGGTAGCTGGTCTCCCCAAAGTCGGCTTGGCTTCTGACGAACGCTCTCGTGCTCCC